CCGACCCAGCCCCGCCCCTCACGAAACCCCTAAGTTGTTACTCACCAAACCATAGTGCTTTCCAACACCATCTTGCCACCTTCCTCCCTCCCGGACCGGGTCTCCTGGGCCTCCTAACACCGACTCCTCCAATTGGCCCAGCACTCATAACCAATCGCAGACCTCGGCTCGGCCAGCTGGTTCCGCCTCCACCCCGCGCTGCGTTCTGGGAGTTGTAGGCGCAGCCAAGATAAAAGGGATGTGAGGGAGGCGGGGTGGCCGAAGTAACACAAAAAATGTTACTACCCACCATTCGAGTTCTCTGGTGGAGTTCCCTGCTGGGGGCATCTAAGCGAAGCTGTGGGGGAACCTCTGGAAGTGCTCGTGGATGTGCAGGCTCCAGCGCCCGTCATTTTCAAAAAGTGGTGGGATCACTTTTTTCCAGCTTCCACTGTCTCCCACAGCACTTTGTTCATAATTACTAAACCCTTCTCTCTCTGAATTGCACTTATTTGTGATTTCTATCTCTCCCATTTTATTAGGGCAGGAGACATGTCAATCATTGCAATCTCGGAGCCCAGTACAGAGCCTGACACATGGTAGGAGCCCAGAAAAAAAGTTTGACAAATCAGTAATTTTAACGAATCTCCCAAAGAATAGGAGACAAAAACCAGTAAACCATTTTGATTTGTTAATCAAGAGTAACATTTAAGCCCCAACTGGTTTGGCTCAACGGATAGAGCATCAACCTGCGGACTGAAAGGTCCCAGGTTCGATTCCAGTCAAGGGCACATGCACAGAGTTGTGGGCTCCATCCCCAGTAGGGGGTGTGCAGGAGGCAGCAGATCAGTGATTCTCTTATCATTGATGTTTCTATCTCTCTCTCCCTCTCCTTTCCTCTCTGAGATAAATAAAAAATATATATTAAAAAAGTAACATTTAAAAATGTTTTGAATTACTTTCCACCACTCACACACGTCTGGAAATCCCAGGTGTCTATCTTGGAGGGAAGAGAGAAAGAAGGAAGGGACCAAGCATGGCAACAGAACACCAAACTTGGAAACAGGGGGGAGGAGTGTTGTAGATATTACCTAGATATTGGTAAAGTTTCAATGGATATGTTCAAAAGTTACTGGTAACCATTACAGATTGTATAAGAGTAAAATCTCCGTATTACTAGAGGAGGGGAAAAGTCAATATAACCACAGACAGGCAAGAGGAAAAATTAAAAAAACAAAAACAAAAACAGAAAAATAGTGTCAAGTTCAAATATAACTAAAATATTTTTAAAAACAAGAATTATATTTTTAAAAACAAAGAAAAATATACAAAGTAACTAGAGACACAAAACTAAGTGAGAAAAGGTAAAAATAAAGGGAGAGGAAAACGCAACATATCAGGCAATAGTAATAAAAGAAAGCATATGTAGCTATATTAATATTGCACAAAATAGAAATTAAAACAAATAGCTGAAATAAAATCAAGAGAATATTTCATAAAACATAAAATTAATCAACAAAAATGCTACTGTTTAATCAGAATAATGAAACTCCAAAGATAAGTTAAACATCAGGAATAACTATAAGTTGGTATTCTAAATGTAGAAGTAAATAAAGACAAACATTCACCCAAACAAAGGGACTAGGACCTGAATGAATACTGTCATCATGGTTCTGGGAAAACATGATCCATGATATCTGTGCAGGGAAGTGTCACCATTTCAGCTTTAGTCAGTCATTTAATAGACTGCGAACAGCTTTTTCTTACCAAACTTTATCTTTTTTTAAAAATATATATTTTATTGATTTTTCACAGAGAGGAATGGAGAGAGATAGTCAGAAACATCGATCAGCCGCCTCCTGCACATCCCCCACTGGGGATGTGCCTGCAACCAAGGTACATGCCCTTGACCGGAATCGAACCTGGGACCTTTCAGTCCACAAGCCGACGCTCTATCCACTGAGCCAAACCGGTTTCGGCTGTTACCAAACTTTAAAAAGTCTATGGAGATATTGCAAAGAATACAAAATATAATAGCTGTTAAAAAGGATGCCAAAACCGGTTTGGCTCAGTGGATAGAGCGCCAGCCTGCGGACTGAAAGGTCCCAGGTTCGATTCCGGTCAAGGGCATGTACCAGGGTTGCGGGCACCTCCCCAGTGGGAGATGTGCAGGAGGCGGCTGATCGATGTTTCTGACTATCTCTCTCCATTCCTCTCTGTGAAAAATCAATAAAATATATTTTAAAAAATGAGATAGTGAAAATTAGATCCTGTAAGATTGATTTGATTCAACCTGAAGAACAGAGAACTACATGGGGTGGGCAAAAATAGGTTTACAGTTGTCAGTCCTAGAAACAGTTTGTTCTTGTGTTATTTATTAACTAGAGGCCCAGTGCATGAAATTCATACATTTGGGGGGGAGGGTGTCCCTCAGCCTGGCCTGCGCCCTCTCACAGTCCAGGAGCCCTCAAGGGATGTCCAACTGCACAGAGGCAGGAGAGGTGAGCCTGTCTCAGGGCTTCTGGCTGAGCGGTGCTCCCCCTGTGGGAGCACACTGACCACAGGGGGCAGCTCCTGCATTGAGCATCTGCCCCCTGGTGGTCAGTGCACATCATAGCGACCAGTCATTCCGCCATTCGGCCTATTTGCATATTAACCTTTTATCATATAGGATTATTGTATTATTTTCCACACAACTGTAAGCCTACTTTTGTAATACTCTCTTCAAATAGAAAAAACATTCTGTTAGAACTATGTCAGAAGCTTTTCAAATAGCGATGTGCACGTTGCAATAATACACATAAACACTGAAATCTGATAGGATCATATTTCAGTGAAACAAAAGCTCTATAATGAAAAGAACCAATAACAAAAGAAAAACAACAGCAATGAATTCATTTACCTGTGGGTCAAGCACTATTCTGGGTACTTGGAAGGGAGCAAAACAAAGTCCTGCCCTTATGGAGCTTACATTCTTTGGGGACAGACAGACAATAAACCAATAAGTAAATATAGTCAAATAACGGTAAGCACCGCAAAGAAAAATAAACGGGTGGTTCTGAGCATATAAATAGGACATCAGGGAGCCTTACATTAGAAACCTGAAGGGCACCTGGGGGAAAGCACAAGTGCAAATGTCTTGAGTCAGGATGTACTTTAAGTGCAAGGAGACCAGTAGAGGCTGGAGTAGAGGGAGAGGCAGGAGGAGAATAAATAAAGCCAGAAACATAGGGAGTTCAGAGGCTAGCTCGTGGACAGCCTCATGGATCAAGGACTCTGAGATAAGGATCTGTTGGGAAGTTTTCAGCAGAGGATTGAGACTCTGACTTAATGTTTTAACAGGACAGCTCTGGCTGCTGCATTGAGAAAATATTACAGAAGGAGATATATCAGTTAGGAGACTACAATAATCTGATGATATGATGGTGGCTTATTCCAGGGTGGTAACAAGATGTGAAAATGGTGACATATAGTTGGATTTTGAGTATATTGTGAGATACAAAACTGATAGAATTTCCCAATGGGTTTGATGGAGGATGTAAGGCAGTGGGTTCTCAACCTTCTGGCCCTTTAAATACAGTTCCTCATGTTGTGACCCAACCATAAAATTATTTTCGTTGCTACTTCATAACTGTAATGTTGCTACTGTTATGAATTGTAATGTAAATATCTGATATGCAGGGTGGTCTTAAATGTTTCTTTAATATACTTTTGATTTCAGAGAGGAAGTGAGAGGGAGAGACAGAAACATCAATGATGAGAATCATTGATTGGCTGCCTCCTGCATGCCCCCTACTGGGGACCGAGCCCGCAACCTGAGAATGTGCCCTTGACCGGAATCAAACCCAGTACCCTTGAGTCCTTAGGCTGACGCTCTATCCACTGAGCAAAACTGGCTAGGGTTTGTTTTGTTTTTGTTAATCCTCACCCAAGGATATTTTTCCCATTAATTTTTTTTTTAATAGAGAGTGAAGGGAGTTGGGGAGTGGGGAAAGAAAGAGCAATGTGAGAGAGATTGATTGATTCATTGCCTCCCTCACATAGCCTACCGGGGCTGGGGAACACACCTGCAACCCTTCAGTGCTTGGGCTGATGTTCTAATCACTTAGCAACACAAGCCAGGGCTATCTCAAACTTTTTTGAATAAGTAGAGCACACTCTAAAATAATAATACAAAGTATAGTATACTAAGTACATAAGCCAGTAACAGCTGTTTATCACTACCAAATATTATGGAATGTACATAATTATATGTGATATACTTTTACCCAACTGACAGTGCAGGTTTGTTTATACCAGCATCACCACAAACATGTGAGTAATGTGAGTGACTATGACATCACTAGGCAAGAGGGATTTTTCAGCTCCATTATAATCTTACTAGAGGCTGGGTGACAGAAATTCATGCATGAGGAGGTGAGTGTCTCTCAGCCCGGCCTGCACCCTCTCGC